ACAATTTACAGTTATTGGGCCAATAATTTCTTTTTGCTTGGGGCCTATCCAAACTCAGGGCCGGCTCTGAATGCAAGGAGATCCTTTAAGACTCCCATACTTTCTTTTCGCATGCAAAAGCTGAGATGCACAACAAGTTTCTCGAGAAGTGCTGAGTTTTGTACAAAGAACTTTGTTACTTCAATTTCAACAGTCCTTCCCATGAATTTGCTTGTTATCTCTACAAATTCGAGAGGTGACAACAAGCACTGAGGTACGGTCGAGAAGCTTATTTCAGTCATCAACTTAGCAGAGGATGATAAATGCTACAAAACACATAAGATTAATGAATATATAACACTTTGCTTTAAATGCATAATTAAGTTAAAAATTCTAGGTTAGTGCAAGTTATCACCAAGACAATGGATTTAAGATTCAGACAGCTTTCAAGAAACATTGGCAGGATGTTCAAGTCAGATGCACAAAATGTTGCTTCCAAACTGGACGGTTTGCAAAACAGAGGTAATGGTTCTACTTTCATGTAGGAACTGAAGAACTGCTTACACAAAAGAAGAGAAGAATATGGATGAACAAAAATTTCGTGGGAAAGCATTATATATATAGGAATTTCATTGACACATACCTCCACAGTCATATCAGAGATGATCATATCCCTAACTCTTGAGATACATGTGAGAAATTTACGGGCCATTTGGTTCTTTGATAAGCCAAGTCCTTGATCAGAATTGAAGGATCTTGAATCATAAAGAAGCCCGCAAGATCGACCTTATCTAAAAAACCCAAATTGCATATTGTTATGCTCTTTGATCGTTCATATTTGAAATTCAGATACTTGAGTCTAGGTGCATCAATCAGAATCCCCTTCTTGTTTCCTCTGTGAGAATCACTACTAATAACACAAAAGCCTACATTGAGACTGATTAGTGTCTGAGAACGCACTCGTAAAACCTCTACATTATCATCTACTCTTCTAACAATGCTCAAGTCTTCAAGAACAAGGCAAGAGGAGATAAGAGACTCCATACACGACTCATTGGCATAGATATTGTGTTCCAAACACATAGTCTTGAGACGAGGTAAAGAAACAGACTCAAAACTACTCAGAGAAACTTGATGGAGTCTTAAGTGAAGGAGCGTCTCACAGATAAAGAGGCTTAAGGGCATAACTTCTAAACACACACGCTTCACAAGAAGACACATAACATCAAGATGCATAAGTTTAGGAGTAGCTACAAAGTCTACCCAACGCGTGACACAAGACTCATGACTCTCAGATTTCTTAATACTTAGCTTGAGCTTGTGCAAACATGACTTCTTTTCCCTAGATAAACCTAGGAACCTGTCCAGAAAACTCACAAATGCATTGTAATTTGGGAACTGAGAAGAGGCCAAATCCAAACCGGGAATCAAAAGCCAGAGACTTTTCCACCTATTGGATAAAACACTAGTCCTAACAGCTTCCTTTGTCGGAAGATACAAGAGTATCTGAG